GTCTCCGCCCACATCAAAACCTCCGCCAATCAAGAGTAGGGCCGTCTCCGCCCACATCAAAACCTCCGCCAATCAAGAGTAGGGCCGTCTCCGCCCACATCAAAACCTCCGCCAATCAAGAGTAGGGCCGTCTCCGCCCACATCAAAACCTCCGCCAATCAAGAGTAGGGCCATCTCCGCCCACATCAAAACCTCCGCCAATCAAGAGTAGGGCCGTCTCCGCCCACATCAAAACCTCCGCCAATCAAGAGTAGGGCCGTCTCCGCCCACATCAAAACCTCCGCCAATCGAGAGTAGGGCCGTCTCCGCCCACATCGAAACCTCCGCCAATCGAGAGTAGGGCCGTCTCTGCCCACAGGACAAAATCTACTGCAGAGACCCTTACTCAGAAAACCATGCCCCCCACCCCGGACAAAAAACAAATTAAAATATGTTTTGATTTACACATTTAATGTCATTGATATATTAACCCACTAGGGGGCACTGTCAGGACAGACTGAAGCCACTCTATGGGACTGATAACTGCTTATAACGTCCATTAAATGGACTGATAACATCAGAACCTGCTGACTCAGGTTATCTTACATTAACCTTCCAGCCAGTGAACAGAAATGTTTAACTAGATATCAAATTAAAAAGTTGCCTCAGCAATCTGCTTTGAGTTTGATTTGATGTCTAGTTTTCAAACTTGGTACTTTCAAAAACCCAAGATGGAGACCAATGCAACTAATAATTCCAACACTCACCTAAAGCCCAACTGTAATTTGAGGCTTTGTTTTGGTATGATTTACGGTGACAAAATGTCTAAACAAAATGTCTGAGCTGAGGTTCGGTGAAAGGCAGTGAGTTTAAACGTGTCGTTTACACTCCTGTAGAAACTGCAGGGTAGTTGTCAGAGTGGATGTTGATTCTCAGTTGATGATGGAGGAGTTGGAGGGAAAAGATGTTATTTCTGTTATTAAGCTCTGTTTACAACAAACTGTTGCTGTTCAGGGATGCACACCTCCTCCTGGTCCTCCCAGCCTGAGAGCCAGTGGTTGTCTTTATCTTGTATTTACAGAATTTCACAATCTCCTTTTTAATAGGTTATTTTACAGTCTTCAGTTTTTTAATGAATGTCAGCTTTGCACTATAATTATATTACCTGGTTTGAAAATAAGTGCAAGTTCATGCTTTGAGATTCTATTTTAAAAATTACACGTTATATCAGTAACATGTTTTAAAAATCACTGCTTTAAATGGATGAGAAAAAAATCTGATGAGAATGTTTACAATGAAACAACCAACATTCAACTAAAGTACTTTTATTTACAGCTTTAGAGGTACTGAGGTTATCAACACATATTTTATTTAATGTGTATTAATGTTTCATGTTTGACTTCATGTTTAAAAATGTAAAAACTGGATCTAGATTTGTGTTCAAAAGATAGTTTAACAAATAATTTAAGATAAAGATAAAAATACTTGGGAAGTAAACTACTTTAAATATAATTTTTTTCAAATAAGTTTCTGTATTTAACTAGTAAATCTTTAAATTGTCTTTAAAGTTCTTAATCCGGATTAAAGCCCATCGGTCCAGTGATGGTGAGAGCCTTCACCTGATCCCAGGAGCTGACAGGATCAGGTCACGAGGAGTGCAGCTCTTCACCATGCTGTGAAGAGAAAGTTGTGGAATAAAGGATGTTTTAATCTGCAGAGCATCATGAGAGTTGTTTTCCACAGATCACAGCGTGGAAGCAGAAATGAAACCTGTCTTGATTGTTGACAGAAGTAAAGCACCTGAAGTGAACTCTGTGAAAGAACAGGGTTTATATGTCTTCTACAAACACAGAGATGGATCAGTGTGTAGATGAGACGATCAGTTCTCCGAAGGGATACAGACGTGGTTCTGCAAAACATGTCAGTGATTTAAAATGAGTTTAAATGCAGTGAATCACATGTTCAAGAGCTTCTGACCAGAGGAGGTTCACCCTCCTGCCAGCCCGAAGTCATGGTGGTCAGAGTCAACCAGGGCTGCACAATATATAAAATAATTAAAATGCATAATTAGTGAAGAAATATCAGCATCACAAAGGACTGCATGGACTACAATAAATCATGAACCACAATATTTCACCCATCATTTATGTTCTGGATGGGAATAGCACAAAAAGAAAGGAAACTTGTGTTTGGTAGATTACTTCTTTGTTGTAACTGATTCTTGACGATGAATCTTACAGCTTTGGAAACCTGTTAACTCCTCTTCACAATGGTGCCACTTTGGTAAGAAACATGCATCTGTTGGATGAGCAGTAAAGCTGAGTATGTGGGTTGTGCACAAGAAAAATGTGCCAAAACTTTTCTGCCATTGATTGTTTGGTGTTTGTTGGACCAGATAGTTGAAGTTTGTAGAAACAAGACACATTGTCAATTTAACAAATGGAGACATGTAGCATGTGGAAGAACCATACACAGCCACAACAGCCTGGCAGCTTCTCCTCTTGCTGGTCACAGACTGCTGCACCATGACAAGTCATTCTTCAACCAGCAGTTGTATCAAGTCAGCCAATGTGGTTATTTGCAGTGAGATTGCCAATCAGATACCACCTGGGGGTACCAGAAGCTCAAAACAAGAGTTCGTAGCAAAAACAAAATAAGCTGGATAGATGGAGGGCAATGTCAGAAAGATTTGACAAATTTTTCATCTGAGCAACCCACATTTTTATCTCTACTCATCCCACAAATGCATGTTCCTTACACATGTGGCACCATTAAAAAGGTCATTTAGCAGGATTTTCATCTGTACAAGATTCATTACCAAGAAGCATTGTTACAAGAAAGAAATATTCTACCAAAAACAAAACTCCTTACTTTTTTACCAAGTATATTTGTTTAGTCCAACAGAAAAAGTAGTCAAGTAACTTGTTCTGTAGGGCTGTGTACTGGCAAGTATTTGGCGATACACATTATGACAGAGGGGTCACGATACGATATATCCCCATATATTGCGATACTGTAAGCAAGGCGATATATTGCAATTTTTTGTCCAAAAATTCTATTAAATAAAAACCTCTTACAGGAAAAAAAAAGAAAAACCAAAATTCATTGTCTCAGAAAATTCTAATATTACAGACATACTTTTGATACATTTAGCTGTGTTCTGCTTTGTATGTGTTTTATTTTATTTGTTTCATATTTCTTATTTCATCCATATTTTCAATTATTAGACTAAATTTGACAATAAATAGTTTGAAAATATATTTTTTGCAGCTTTTAGTTTTTAATATTAATTTACAACATGGTCAGCCAACAGTTAACAATAGTGTTTATGTTGTCATAAAGTTCAGTAAACAGATGATATGAAGCTGCTGCACAGAGTTTCTGGGATCAGCTGACCTGCATCCAGAACATGATCTGTGGGTCGAACAGCAGGGCAGGTCCTGAAAATAAACTGTAAATAAATGGAGAAGATAAACAACAACAACACAGTTAAACTGTTTTTGAAGTGAACACAGCAGGATAAAGTATCTGGACTTTGATGTGATCAGCCGGACATCATTGAGAGAAACAGTTTTATGTCACGGGGGGAGCGCTGAGCTCGAGGTGATAGACACATGCACTGTGCGTAATGTGAAAGCTGACTACAGTTGGAAAAAAGAGCACAAAACACTTAATTAGTCTTAAAATCCAGACATTGTGACAAATAAGTAACTGTTTGTAACCTAACCTCAGCTTTAAGGCAGAGGGTGTCGGTCTTTTCTGCTCACATTCAGCTATCGGAGCATGAAGCTAATGTTTACTCACAATGCTAATGCTACCCTTACTCTCTGGTGCTCAAGAGGTGGAGGAGCCAAATGTCTGACTCACTGCTGCCAACTAGTGGTCAGAGGCTGAACTACAACATAAAAATGAACAGCTGTCAGGAAAGTTGACATTTTAAACCTTAGTAAAAAATCGATACAGGGCTTTAGAATATTGATACAGTATCAGGAAATGAAATATCGCAATATTTCAGTGTATCGATATTTTCTTACACCTCTATTGCTCTGCAGAGGAAATCTCGTAGTCCTAACTAGTGTGATAGAAACTGACAGCGTGGTTGAATCAAAGCCTAATATAGTAGATGTCAGAGAGAACATTTAATAAATTACCCGTTGTTTTAGAATCAAATGTGATGTTACTGCTTTGAGTTTAGTGAAGGGATGAGTCTAACTTCTTTTTATTTTCCTCTGGCTTCTAAGGAACATGTCCATGGACAGAGAGCTTCCTCTGATGTCATAAGCAGCCCCTGAGGCTGTTCTTGCAAAGGCCCTCACAGCCCTGCTGCCTCCAACATCCAGCCTCACCATGGGGGAGATGGTCCAGATGCACTTCACCGTGGTGGACTACGTAATCTTTGTTCTGCTTCTGGTGGCCTCAGCCGGCATTGGCCTCTTCTACGCCTTCTCTGGAGGCCGTCAGCGTACAACACAGGTAGTTTGTTCTCACGCACACAGATGATTGGACACGTGGGTTGTAGTTTCCCATGGCTCTGTGTGGTACTGATGTCTGACACACGTCTGGTTGACCTCAGGAGTTCCTGATGGCTGACCGCTCCATGAGCTGCCTGCCTGTGTCTCTGTCTCTGCTGGCCACGTTTCAGTCAGCCGTGGCCATCCTGGGCGCTCCGTCTGAGGTCTATGCATTTGGGACACAGTACTGGTTTCTGGGCTGCTCCTACTTCTTTGGTCTGCTCATCCCAGCTCATGTGTTCATTCCAGTCTTCTACCGGCTCCGGCTGTCCAGTGCCTATGAGGTACTATCATGTAGTTGGCACACAACTTTCTCTGTCCCCCCTTTATAATTTTATAATCCCTTTATACATGCTAACAAGCTAATCTATATTTACTGAACTCAATGTGCCAAAGTGTTTTTGCATTAAACTCTTATTTTATGATAAAAAAAAATGACACCCAGGTGTTTAAAAGTAAACGCTGTTACAAAAGTTGTTGTTTTTTTGGTCTGAATTTGTTTTTAATGTTCTCTCTTCTTTGTATTTTTGTTTTACACAACACATTTACCTCCCGCTCTCTCTATCCTTATCTTTCTTAAGTATGATCTCAGAGTTGAATAAATCTCATCGGTCATATCTGATATAAAAGAATCAGAGAAGCACGTGGTCTGCCTTTAAGGTTAAATGTGTGTAAAGGATCTTTGTCTTGATCATTAATCATTTACCATAATGTTCTGTGATTTCTCACTCTGATAATTAAAATTTAGACAAACAGTCTGATCCGCTGCACTCACTGTCAAATACAAATGACCTCTGAGATGATATGTAATGAGTTTTTATTTAGCTCTTTTTTTGTTGTCGTTCTTTTGTTTTGTTTTGTTTTTTTATGTGTTCTCTCCAACAGTATCTGGAGCTTCGTTTTAACAAGACAGTTCGCATCTGTGGGACTGTGACGTTCATCTTTCAAATGGTATCTAGATCTGCTTCATATGTTGTGTGAATGTTGATTAGACACCTCATTCTTTCATCCCATCCTTACAGTGTGATCTACCATATTTATTCAAGTATAATACGTAAAATTAAATCCATAAAATCATCCGTAAAGTTGGGGGTAGTATTATACTCGGATAAATATTTTTACTTATGTATTTTAACTGAAATATCGGCTTCATTCACAAAATTATTGAGTCCAGAAATGAGACCACGTTGTCCGTGCTTCAGAGTGAGATAATAACAGATCCATCAGGAGACATGATGTGAAAAAGGGGGAAAAANGGTGTTCCGCTGAATGTTAACAACTGGAGGCYTTTTAAAGCATCACTTCCCTCTGTGATCATGGGGAATGTCAACTCACTGCCCAATAAGATGGATGAGCTGTCCATGTTGGAGAATCTGCAGATTATTATGAGTGTAGCTTGTTTATCCTGTTGGAAACATGGCTAACGGATAGCGTACCGGACGCTACCGTTGCTCTGCATTGATTTACAGCAGTTTGCAAATTTGCAAAGCTGGTGGAGAAAACCCTAAAGGATTTTAGCTGGAACTGCATCGAAAGGTGGTTCTAAAAAGTGTTTACTCAGGAGGGCTATAAACAAATGCACCGCACACTTTTCAGATTTTTGTTTCTATAAAAATTGAAAACCATGTATCTTGTTCACAATTATGCTGTATTTTGAGTTGGTCCATCACACACAYTCCCTCTAAAATACTTTGAAATGTGTGGTTGTTATGTGACAAAATGAGGAAAAGTTCAAAGATCATGAAAACTCTTTCAAGGCACTGCAGATGGTATTTTTGTAGATGTCCTTTGCTGGGTAGGGATTAGTCTGTGAAACAAGTTGACCTCGGTTCTGTATAAGTTGTGCGAGTCCTTGTTTTCTAGTTGGTCACACACTTTACAAATGAGACAAGAATAACATGGATACAAGAATAATTACAAACCTACAAAAACTGAAAAACAAGCTTCTCCTTAAATAAAATCTACACTTTCAATCACAAAAGCTTAGAGGGAAATTTATTTCAAAATTCTATTGAATCACTGGATGAATTTTATTGAAACCTGCAGAAAGTAACCATTTACATCGACAACATTCACAGTTAGAGGCAGGACCCAGAAATGCAAACTGACACAAGGAATTTCTGTAAAATCTGAGACTTTATTAAACAAAAAGCTAATGTGGCAGCAGAAAATACAATTGAACAAACTCAAGGAAACACAAAAACCAGACATGTTATGAAGCAAGCACACACAGCGCCCCCTGCAGATGAACTGTCAGCATGATCTTAAAGAGGCGACTGGAAACAGGTGGCCTGATGGTAACAGAAATGGGTTAATGTGGCAGAATAGAGAAGCAGAAACTGATGAATGAAAAGTACTGAACTAGTGACACTTAGGAACAACTGACCACAAGAATACACAACGTAAACACACAAAAAATAAACAACTGAAACCAAAAACACAAAAACAACCAATGACCAGTGGGTACAGATCCTGACAACAACTAACGTAGTCACCCAGATTCAAGATGTCTACAACACAACTAAACCTACAAAACACACAAAGGGCCATCATTTTTCAGGTATTGAGCTACATTTTGGTGTGGTACTAGTTGTGACTGATTCCCAACCTTCTGTGAAGAGGTTCTAAGGTTGATGGATGATTAAACATCTAAAGGAAGTTTTTGGTTTTCTACAGTTTCTAAAGCTCTCAAACAATAAAGGCTTGTTTATAAACCAGGTGGTTCAAACATTGAAGCATTAAAAGTCTCTAACTTTACTCCAACAAACAGCAGCTCTGAAGCTTTGTTTTTCTGAACTGACTGAATGTTTTCTCTGATGAATGAGGTGGAGTACTTCACCTGTCCTCCAGGGCTCTGGGTTTTGTTTGATACCAGTTTTAAGGGGCAATTTTGTCGAAAACCTCCTGAAATGTGTTTTTAAACAGTGACCATGCCTCTTCGGTATTTTTAATGGCGTTATGCCAGTTAATGTTTCTAAGTAGGGCTGTAAATCACCAGCTTTATCACGATACAATATTATATCGATTGTTTGGATGACTGTTCGATATTTCTCGATATCACAAAGTCTGTGACGATAACGTTTCGATTCAAGTCAATACACAAGTCTGCGATCGATGTAATGCGATATCAAATGCCCATCTAACACTGTCATTGTGTTAGATGGGCATATGATGTCGAATCACATCGAGCATATGACGACGATTTAGATCGATATTTTCATTTTGCCTCGATATAACTGAATCATGAACCATTCAAATCGATATATCGATATAGATCGATGTATCGTTACATCCCTATTTCTAAGWAGATGTTGGAAAAATTCTTTAGTGTACTTTTTAATGATCATATTTTAGCTGTGTTGTGTTGGCGTGCTTGAGTTTTTACTATTTTGCCGGTGCAGTAGGTCAACAAATGGTTGCTTAGACCAGTGCTAATGCCACCACTTTGTCTAACTTTTGTCGAGTCAGAGACAATAATGAAATGTAATATAGCACAGGAAGTTGTAATCCTGGTTGGAACATTTATGATTTGATTGAGATCAAACATAAAAACACATTTTTTAAATGTTTGAAACATCACAGAGCTARAGCCATAATTAGAGTTGAAGTCACCAAGTATGAGGCTTTTTATTTCCAAACATTTTTTGCACTTTAAACAAGTGTGTTCAAGCTGCTCATAGAATTTAGAGTTTCTGATGACGCAGCTAATAACAGGTGTAAATGTTAAAAACTTCATCTGACTGAAAAATCACCCACAACCTTTAATCAACTAGTTTCAAGTAAAAATTCAGTATGCACCTATCAATAGGTCTATTATCCATGTACAATAAAATATGTATTTATTGAACTGTTATGCTGTTTGCTTATTGCAACCAAACTGCTGTTCTTCNTCGTATTATACATGAGGTCGTATTGTACATGAGGTCGTATTATACATGAGATCGTATTATACATGAGATCGTATTATACATGAGGTCGGATTGTACATGAGATCGTATTGTACATGAGATCGTATCATGCACAAATAAATACGGTAGCTTTTCAGTGTCATCATAAAAAAATTTGTTTCTACCTTCATAAATGTTACAAAAATTGAAAAAAAAAAACAGTTTTGGACACTTGTGAATATACTATGAATATGTAAGTTTAAGAATAAATCTTGGCCAAAGATTATGCCAAGGTTTTGTTCTCAGGTATTAGAGGCATTGGAGGTGTATTTGTAAAGATGCATCTGCTGACATAAGCTGAAAATAAATCTCCATGTATGAGTTGAAGTGAAGCCAAAGAAGCTTTTTAAAAAAACAAAACAAAACATGTAATTCCACACTGATCCCATTGTTTGTCCTGGTGACGTCCTGTTCAGTGTAGCATGCCTCCAATAAGAAGAACTGAGTATCTAAATGAAAGACTGTAGGTTGACTGTGCTTATGTACCAGGATCACTCTCTGGATTACGGCAAGAGGAACAGTCGGAGCAGCATGTTTCGCATAGTGCCCAAGTTCAAGAAGGAGAAGACCACCAAGAAGTGCAGCCCTCAGTCAGGTAGGCTGTCCACACCTGTCCTTCCCACTGAGCAGAGACAGAACTCACAGGGTCTAACCTTAAACAGAATAAACCTGTTAGTACATACACTGCTTTTCTTCCTTTAGTTTTACAGTTAGGTGTGTTCCAATGCTCATAGACTTCATTTGACTGGTAAAGAGAAAGATTTAATGGAGACCTCAAAAAGAAAAAATCAGTAGGTCCTCTGGATGGTTCTTCTTTAGTGAAACTTTTGTCTCTGCAAGAGACTTCTTCAGTCTGATGAGTTTCAGGTGAACTCAGCCTTATAAGCTCCGCCTCCACCTGGACAAACAGGTTTGTCACATGCAAAAGAGGGCCATCGCCTAACAATGGTGTGCACATGACCCTCTATGAACAATAGAGCTAATCAAGCCTATTGTTAGGCAATGACCCTCTTTTGCATGTGACTAACCTGTTTGTCCACCATGTGGAGGCGGAGCTTATAAGGCTGAGTTCACCTGAAACTCATCAGACTGAAGAAGTCTCTTGGAGGAGACGAAACGTTTCACTAAAGAAGAACCATCCAGAGGACCTACTGAGATGCATCAGGACATTTAATGGAGACATTTATCCACAAGTCTCATACTGAAAATATAAAAAGTTACAGATTGACAAACCAGGGTGTGTGTTTGAGGTGTTACATCCCACAGTGTGAGCCATCCTCCACTCCGACCCATTCATGCTCTCATCCAGCTGCCAGCAGGTTTCAGGGACTTCAAAGTGAAAAGGAGCTTGCCCCAGGATGAAGTGTCCATTTGGATATGTTATCTACAATAAAATAAAATATTTATCTGTAGCTTCATCAGAAACAGTGTGTCAGAAAGTTTGTGTCAGAGTATGTGATGGTAAAATGTTGCTTAGAGCTAAGAAAGGTTTCAGAGCTCACAGCTTCTGCCTCCCTCTCTGATCTGATCCATGAAATGCATGAGCCCCACCTCCTCACTTCAGCATCGCTGGCCTTCTTCTCATTGATCTTTCACCTCTTCATCCTCCATTTTCTTCTGCCAGCCACCGCCARTGCTTTAGTCTCCACCTCCGTCCTCCTTTTCTTCACTGCCCACCTCCTCCCTTCATGATCTTCATCTTTGCATGAGGTTCATCTTCACTGTGTGAATGAAACGGTTCAGATTCAGGTGCTGTACCTGCGAGGCGCTCTGAGCCACTCTGCTCTGCTTTGCGTCTTTGTTTGCCCACGTGTGTGTGTGTGTGTGTGTGTGTGTGTGTGTGTGTGTGTGTGTGTGTGTGTGTGTGTGTG